TAAGGTCAACGTTGTTCACCCTCAAAGATTCATTTGTCTGTCTGGCCGTGTGAGAACTGGCATTATCGTGGTGTAAGATGATACGGCGTTTACGGTTTTTTTACGGAGTTTATCAATAACTTCCGGCAAACAAATGGTCGTGTACCAATCACTATTCACGGTACAACGATTCTCCAAAGCAACAGTGGCCACGTGTCCAGTTTTATAAAAAAAAGAAGTAATCATCCGCTTAGAGGCACTTTGCACGCGCGCCTCTTTGGTCGGTTTCGGCTCATCTCTAAAGACCCATACGCTCGATTACTGCTTTGTTTTGGGGTCGTAACTATAAATTCATCTTTCGTCACCTGTTACTATGTCCCACACCAAATTTGACGCCCCTTCGTTGAATCTGTAAGCATGGCGTTGCACCAAGAGACGCGATGCGTTTTTTGAGCCTCAGTCAATTTGTGTGGGATCCACCGAGAGCACAGTTTTTTCACACCCAAATGTTTGTGTAGTGTTGATTATATTTGACTCATGCCTATGCCTAAAGATGCCCGAATTTCATGGTATGTCACCTGCCTGTCTGTTTTGATCATAACACAGAGGCGCACAGCATCGACGTTTTTGTTGTTCACAGCAGTGGACGGGCGACCATCACGAAATTCGTCACTGAGATTAACACAACCGCGTTTGAATTCTGCAAACCAGCTGTAAATAGTCGTCGCAATGAAGCACCGTGTAGGTGCTTCATTGCCAAAAGCAGTATGAAGCCGAGGGAAGCTCCGCTGAGCTGTTAAATTACACTTAAAGTCGTAGAAAATCATACTACGAAAATTTTCGCGAGTTAAATCCATGGTGATGTAGACAACCAATTTCTAAAATGACGCCACAATGTAAAAACAAGGAATAGTCAGATAAAACAAACCGTATTCTACAGCCAGAGTTCCATTTTCAAATGTGTAATTATTTTTTAAATATTGTTTATGTAAGTGGCCAGTTCCGGAAACTTATAGTGCGCCCCATGTACAGTTTTTGTAAAATGACTAAAATAACTCTGTGACCGCGCGCGACCGCTGGAAGGTTAATCTTTTGGATGAGCATGTATCTAGGTACGACATTAATTTCTAGATGATACCTTTCGCTAACTTTAAATGAAAACATCATCGTGATGAAACCTATGAATAAATAGAAGGTTCGCAAAGGCAGGTTAATAAACCTTCTCTTTAGAGGACACCTGTACCCTGTAGTGTGACGTATCATGGGCTGATGATCATGTTGTGATAGAAATCATTTCATCAAAATTATCAGTTACGTCCCTAAGTAGTGTTATATGTATATACAGACTAATATTGAGACATTAGCTTCTGTGAGTTATTTTCGACATCCGTTTGAAGTCCCAAAGATGTCATACATTACTTATGGTCGATAGAGGACTTTGAATAAAATGCTATTCAAATTTCCATTTCCTATTTTGGGAAAGCCATGTTGGGTTCGTAGAGCCTTAGGCGCCATTTGCTTCAATTAATGTTACGTTTATTATGTACATTAATGACGTACCTTTTACTTTGACTGGCAAAATGTTATCTGCAATAATTGGCCCGACATAGCCCATTCAGAGTTTCACCTGTTTTGGTCTTTATAAAATTATGTGAAGAGGCACGATTTGGATAATGAAGAGACCAAAAAACGATACTTGGAGCAGTGTTTTAAAAGTAAATATAGGTATTTTTTATCAAATGGGAATTCTAAAATTAGCCGAAAGATTGCTAAAGATTGTAGATCAACAATGTTAGTAGACATTATGCCTATAGTCAATGTATAGGTTTTTTGCTACTGTCAATTTCTATAGAACATGTATTTCTACAAACAAATTAGATTCGAATTACCAATTATCAATATTAATTACCCCAATTCCCGGTTTCGATCGAGAAGTTAATTTGGAAAGTTAATTTTGATTTGATTACTCCTTTCAGGTGAAGTTTTCATTAACTGTTGTGGTTAATTTATTTATAGAGGTCTAAGACTTTAGTTGAATAAATAACTTGAGGTATTGTAACCCATAAACCCAAAGTATTGAACTTTGCCTTTGTTTTTGTGTATCTGTCAGTGTCGTCATAGCTCCCAAATTGATGTCAAAGCGGTTTTCGTCAATACTCAAATACTCAATAATAATGTTTATTACCCGCTCACGCGATGTGCTCCTCCTACCGCAAAATGGCGGCTATTTGGTTTCGCAAATTAGAAAAGGAATCAATTTAAATACAAATTTTTATAAATAAAAATTATTATTCTGCATTGCTAAATAAATACCCTCCGTACTACTTTATAGTGACTCGACGAAAAAATCGCCAGGCAGTCGCAGGTTGCGGCCGAAGGTCAGCTGTGCAGCGCTCGCTGCGCACGGCGGCGGCGCGCAGGCCAAGTAGTACAGTCGGTAGCACGTCTATCCAGTGTGATGTTGATTGTAGGCGTGCGGTGAGCGCTGTCTTCATAGTGCGGTGCCATCGTTCTACCAAACCATTGCTCTGTGGGTGGTATGGTGTAGTGCGTATTTTTTCTATGCCGGCTAGCCTTGTTAGTGCAATAAATAGTTTGCTTTCAAATTGCCTCCCTTGGTCTGACGTTATTTTCGCTAGGCAGCCGTAACGTGCAATCCACTGTTCGTAGAAGGCTTTGGCTACCGTTTCAGCTGTCATCTCTTCCGATGGTATAGCTTCAGGCCATCTCGTTGTGCGGTCGACCATAGTGATAAGGTAGCGGTGACCGTGCGGGGATGTTGGGAGTGGTCCGACGATGTCGATGTGCACGTGAGAGAATCGATCGTGTGATGGCGGGAATGGTGCGACTTCGCTGGCTGTGTGCCGTTGAATTTTTGCACGTTGACAAGCGACGCAGGTTTTCGTCCACTTGCCGATGTCCGCGTTGAGTGAAGGCCAAAAGAATCTTTCCTTCATGAGCTTGCGGGTGGTTCGAGTACCGGGGTGAGAAAGTCCGTGTACCGCGCTAAATGCAGAATACCGGAGATCTGGTGGTACGTACGGGCGTGCGTTAGGTGTCAAACATTCTGTGAGGATAAGCTTCGGCGATGATGGTAGTGGCATTAGCTTAAAGCGTAGGTTTTGATTCGACAGTAGCGTAGGTATATCGCTGTCCTTTTCTTGCGCATGGGCGAGTTGCTCGTAGTCAAACGTGGAAGGGGCAGTGATTGCATCGATTCTTGACAGGGCATCAGCCACTACGTTATCGTTGCCACTGATGCTCCTTATGTCCGATGTGAATTCACTAATGAACAGGATTTGGCGCGTGCGTCTTGGTGTTTCATTGTTGTGATTGACCTGTGTGAACATGTAGGTTAACGGCTTGTGGTCTGTGAAGATTATCAGATGTCGTCCCTCGAATGTTTTGCGGAAATGCTTAACCGCCATATATATGGCTAAAAGCTCTCGGTCGTAGGTACTGTACTTCGTTTGTGCGTCGGAAAATTTCTTTGAAAAATAGCCAAGTGGTTGCCACGTCCCCTTGACGTATTGTTGTAGTACGGCGCCTGCACTGTAGTTCGACGCGTCACACATGAGTGCGAGTGGGACGGCGTGATGCGGGTGGGCGAGAAGTGCTGCTTCTTGAATACTTTGTTTACATTTTTCGAATGCTTCCGAGGCTTCTGTATTCCATTGTAGTGGAGTTTTATCCTTCTTCTTTGAGTGATGTAAATATAAGTTGAGTGGAGCTTGTAGTGTTTTGGCGTTTGGAATATTTTCTCGGTAATAATTCACCATGCCGAGAAAACGCCGGAGCTCTTCTACAGTGGTCGGTTTTGGATATTGTACTATGGCAGCTATTTTTTCTTCCGGCGGTTTAATTCCTTGTTCATTCACTAGGTAGCCCAAGAACTTCACTTCTGGCTGGCCGAAGACACATTTGGAAGGGTTTATGGTAATGCCGTATTCTTGAAATTGCTGCAGCACTGCTCGTAGATGCTGCCGGTGTTGTTCTTCGTTTTCAGAAGCAATGAGAACATCGTCGACGAATGGGAAAGTAAAATCGAGTCCTCGTAGTACTTGATGAATGAACCGTTGAAATGTTTGTCCTGCGTTGCGGAGGCCGGGGCACATGCGCGGAAACTCGAAGAGACCGAACGGTGTGATGATTGCAGTCTTCTCAATGTCTGATTTGGCCACTGGAATTTGTTGGTAGGCACGGTTGAGATCCAGCGTAGAAAATATTTTTTTTGCGCTGAGTTGATGTGTGAAGTCGCGTAGTCGTGGTATGGGATAGCGGTCAGACTTAGTTACCGTGTTGAGTTTACGGTAATCGCCACAAACTCGTATATCACCATTTTTCTTTGCAACGACGTGTAGAGGGCTTGCCCATGAGCTCTTGCTTGGCTGGCACAATCCTTGTTGCATCATGCTCTCGAACTCTTTCCTAGCCGAGGCGTAGCGGTGCGGTGGTAGTGGTCGTGCACGAGCATATAGCGGTGCTCCGGTCGTCTCGATGTAGTGTTCAACGGTGTGATTTGGGTTCAACTGCATTGATGACAATCGTGTCGTACCGGGGAATTCGGCAAAAATTCGGAAAATATGTCGTGGAAGGCTTGCCGATGGTCAATGCTCCTTATTGTAGGCATGTTGGTGAGGCGTGAAGGTACGTTGACGGCTAAAGTGGTCACGCTGTCAATTAGGCGTCTCCTTTTCAAGTCCACGATGAGATTGTGGTACTGTAGGAAATCGGCTCCAATGATTGGTTTGTTTACTGCGGCGACGATAAATTTCCACTTGTATGGTCTTCTCAAACTGAGGTCTAACTCGAGCAACTTCTCTCCGTATGTGGGAATCTCGGTGTTGTTGGCGGCAAACAGCTTGAATGGCAGTGATTGTGCATGGGATCCTTTTGTTTTTGGTATGACGGATATGTTTGCACCCGTGTCAACCAAAAATGTGAGTCCTTTTTTTTATCAGTGACGAATAGGCGGTAGGATTTGCTTAATACGCTGGATTCCGCCGCAGCCAACGTATTGTTTAGTTTTCCGACTTCATGTTATCACTGGAGAATGTGCACGGCAGTGTACATCTTCGCGCTTCACTTCCGAAACGTCTGTGATAATAGCATACTGCGAGTGATAGCGCTGCTCTGCGGCCGCGTGAGTTGGAGCGAGACGGTGAGCCATGCCTGTCGCGCGAGCGGCGGCGTCGGCGAAACCGGTCGTAGTGCGGCTGTCGCTCGTTGCCTGCGCGGTTGCGTTGCGACGATTTTAACTCTGTGATTTCTAGTGATAGTTTCCGAATTTCTTCTACTAGGAATTGAGAATCGGCGTATTGATGTGGAGCGGGCGCTGCTGATGATGTGGGTGGCGGTGCTGCGGATACGGCAGAGATCTCGTGGCTTTGTTCTAGCATTTTATCTGCGAGTAATGCTAATTCGTCCAGCGCAGCGGTCTTGCTGATGGTGTCGCTGACGACGAGAACGGAACGGACGTGCGGTGGGAGATGGTTCATCCACATTAGCCTTAATGTGGAGTCAGGAACTTTATCGCGTGCCAGGTTACGCATACGACGGAGTAGTTGGGTAGGCTTTTGGTCACCTAGTTCCATCTCTTGAAGTAGCTTTTGAAATTGACGTCCCTCACTTTCTTCATACACGGAGATAAGCCGTTCCTTCAGAACAGTATACTGACTTTCGGATGGTGGGTTGTACAGTAAGTCAGATATTTGCTCGACGTCCATTTTGTCGAGTTGCGCGATGACCATCTGCGATAACTGCGCTTGACTTTTCTTAAGGTCGTGGGTCGCTGCTTCGAAACTGACGAACCACAGTCTGGGGCGGTCGCGCCAAAACGGCGGCACCCTGAGAGATAAGGAAATTCCTCCAACTTCCTGCGGTGGCACGATCTCGTGCGGCGGTGTGTTCTTGCCTACACTCATACTGCTGGTAAGAGTATCACGTCGGGGTCACCAATTTAGGAGCCTGTTGTGTAGCTGCTGGTAGGCAAATAAAACACTGGTTGTTCAGGAGTCGAAGGCTATTGCTGTGGCTTGCTAGCTTGGTGTGGCTTGGTGTAGCTCGACATTTAATCAACGAATGTTACTACTTATATACTTTTGTATATCTTAGAAATAGTACAAGTCTAATTGAGTAAGTAGTACATAGAGATGTTACGGCGCGGCTGCGCGCGAAGGCATAAATAGGACCCGCCGCGCGCTCGCCGTTCAGTGCACGCCGACGCGTTGAGCGCGGCGGATGCGTGGATGACTTGCAGCTACACTACCAACAAAAACATCTAAAATAAAATGCAGTAATACACCGCAAATCCTGCACTTAAAAAGCACTAATGACATTTTTGGTGTACTTGGGTAAATATGATAATATTCCGTTTGAGTGGTTCTAACGTTTACCATGAAATTTCTCCTTAAAGTATAGTTTATAAACATTTATATACAGGGTAAACTTAAAAAACGCTACTTACGGTATGTTTTCAATAAATAAACACCGAAATCACCAGCCCAAACAATAACACACACGATTGTCGTGACGTATGTTTGAAGTTGTTTATTTTTTTTAAATGACAGACCCAGGCATTAAAAACTTTATGGTTTGCTAGAGTAGTTACCGAAATAGCAATTAATATTAGTTCCTATACCTCTTATAACTTCGATATCCGATAAATCGGTATAAAATCATCACCGGCACCTCTAGGTGTGGTATGCGTCTACGGCTGCATGTATCGCGTGAGCGGTTAAATAGTATAGTTATGAATAAAAAATAATTTCAATAAGTCAAGAAATTACAAAGTCCGCCTCTGACTGATCCCGGCGCCCGTTGCCCATCACTCCATTTCCTCGCTGTATGACAATGGACAACCTTTGCGCCAAGAACAACCCGGCGGGGGAGTCATCTCCACTCTCTCTTAGCCGTCACCCGATTTCTGCTACAAACTTTTTCGCATCGCTGCCCCAACAACCCGCCGTCTTAACAGCATGCGGAACGAAAATGTAGCGACTTTCCAAATAGCACAAAACAAACAGAAACAAAACATTTACAATCACGTCACAGAGTATAACATAAAAGCACATAGAACATTCATTATTAATTTTATACACATTTATATAAAACACATATTGCGAGAAAAACAAATACTGTGAGAAAAACAAACAAATATTATAACAACTGATAAAATTTTAATATACCTATAACTACAGTTTGTGCTGAAATGGCCTTGACTCAGCATAAATACTGTAGACCGAGAGAAGTCAAACAGCGCTGGTTTTCTGCTAGTACCATATGGTGAGCGATCGTAGCCCAGTAAGCCATGCCACCAAAGTGCATCACATGCAAATATAATATATATACCTAACTCTAAATACTATACATATATATATATCAAGCAAAAGTGTAAGATGTAAAGCAAACAATGTAAATAGTGTAAATAATGAAGGTAAGTAAATTAATAATGTAAGTTTACAAATATAATATTAAATTATAACAATAGCCACCAAATATGAGTATGTATAGGTACGGAAATTTAGGTTTACAGGTATCAAACGCATTGATTAGGGAAATATCTATGTAGCGAGACACGTCTGCTCTGACAAAAGATGTTTTTTGTATTCACGCTTAAATCGTTTTTTATTTTTTTTTATTGTCAAATCACGATATTTATCTTGTTTCTTGCGATATATTGATTGTCTTCATATGGTACCTACATAAGGTCTGAAAATTAAAATAATGTTACACTACCTATCTTAGAGATAACAATAAAAGCAGAGACAGGACGAGACTTAGATTAATCAATTAAATTGTTCACTACCAATATAAGTCCAATAAGAAGTATGTTACTGAGAAATTTACAATTAAATAAAATTACAATAATATGAAATATATGATATAACATAATTCAAGATTTATTCATTATTTGTTAATTAATTTTATTAATATAATTTGTTACAATATTATTACATTTTGTCATTGAAGTATCCACTTAAATTGTAACAATATTTATTAATTAGGTATAATTTCAATTTATTAACAAAGAGTGAACACTTTTTATGATTGTCGAGAGTACGTTGAATATTTTTACCGACATCCGACATGCCATAAATTATTAACATCTACTTCAGTTTGTTATAATAATTAACACAAATATCGAACACTCAGAAAAAATTCCTTCGATCCGGCCGGATTCGAAGTCTTCTAGTATACCATGTCAGACGCTATACCAACGAAGCCACGGAAGGAACCAGCGGACCTCACGAATTTTTCTATGTGCTTGTTGTCGTATCATTTTACTTGGTTTTTCAACGACTTTTCAGAGTGTTGTTTTTTATAAATGTACAAATCTCGAGAATGTAAACGGAAACTAATAGTAATTCTCTTTCTTTCTTTTTTTAAAGTCAGATCTTCTCCCACTTAGTGTAGCGATCTCAACCGTAGAAAGTGTCGTGGAAATTTCAAATTTCACATGCAAATTTTATACGTGTAGGATGTTAGCAATAAACCGAAAGCAACGTTTTAGTCGTCAACGTTCAGATAAAAATGTTTACATTAGCTCTTTGATAAACAGTCCCAAATTCAAAGTTTCTTTGACTGAGTATATTTAAATTTTTATTTTGTCTTTGAATAGTGTAGTTTTTGGTCAAGTATGGTGGTATAAGTAACTGTTAGTTTTTGATAAATAGACAGTTAAAACCTTCAATTAAGAACATGGAATAATAAAGAAAGAAAATCAGATACAAAAAGTAAAGAAGCAAATATATATTGAGATAGCAAACAGCTGTTACCTATCTAAAATGATAAAATAAGAAAAACCGTGCGAGTTTTGCCTAAAAACTGGTCCTGAATTATATAATGAAAATGTTCGGATGTTTTGAAATGCTGAGAATTTCCTCAAAAAGTAAGTGCCCTCAAATGTTTTTCGAAAGTGACCTTAGATTTATAAAGCCTTAAAAAGGTGGAATAGTATTTCAACGTCTTGTAGCTTGAGTTTCAGTTAAAGTGCGGGGAAACCTCACCGCTCTAGTAGGATGTAAACGGCGGAATACTTTGACGTGTTCTTAACTATTAACGAGCTTAACGAGCATGACGGGCTTTGGCAGAGGCAATGTGCTTCATAGTCCTATGTAGCAGTGTCATAAACCTATTTAATAATTTCCATTTCAGTTTTTATGTTCAGTAAAGTGTTTTTGTCTTAGACGTTATGATATGAATTCGTTTTATCAAAATTATCCTGTGATATTTAAATCACGTTGTAGTTAAAATATACTTACCTATTGTATATTTCACCACTTTATCTTCCAATTAGTTCAGGTAGAGACTATCGATTGCCACTTTGTACGATCTTGACTAACCTTTCCTACGTCACTTACGTTCATGAATGTTTTTATACAAGCCCTTTTATTGTTCTCACGCGCTCCAGCCTTTTTGAGAACTATATCGACTTCGGAAACGGTCTTCGTAACCGTTCTCCGCCAATGTTGACTATGTATGTCTCTTTCTCTCCTCTGTTTTCATTTATCCGCTCCATGTACCCAAACCAAATAGTATTTTTGTAAGATTTTCTTTTATAGCCGCTCACGTGATGCGCTCATCCTACCGCAAAATGGCGGCTATTTGGTTTCGCAAATTAGAAAAGGATTCAGTTTAAATACAAGTTTTTATAAATAAAAATTATTATTCTGCATTGCTAAATAAATACCGTCCGTATTACAACAAAAACATCTCAAATAAAATGCAGTTATACACTGCAAATCCTGCACTTAAAAAGCACTAATGAAATTTTTGGTGTACTTGGATAAATATGATAATATTCCGTTTGAGTGGTTCTAACGTTTACCATGAAATTACTCCTTAAAGTATAGTTTATAAACATTTATATTCAGGGTAAACTTACAAAACGCTACTTACGGTATGTTTTCAATAAATAAACACCGAAATCACCAGCCCAAACAATAACACACACGATTGTCGTGACGTATTTTTGAAGTTGTTTATTTTTTTTAAATGACAGACCCAGGCATTAAACACTTTATGGTTTGCTAGAGTAGTTACCGAAATAGCAATTAGTATTAGTTCTTTTACCTGTTATAACTTCGATATCCGATAAATCGGTATAAAATCATCACCGGCGCCTCTAGGTGTGGTATGCTTCCTCGGCTGCATGTATCGCGTGAGCGGTTAAGAAAAGTTAAAAGTGCAGCGATAATGCCACTCGTTTCGTCACTCGTCTTTGAACTATCTCCGGTAATGTTAAAGCAACAAATCAACATAAATTAAGTCAGCAATTTTAGTGAAGACACTCTTTAGAATGTTGAACTCTCTGTTTGTACACGCTTATCTCTACAATAGCTAAACCAATTTGGATTTAGTTTTCGGTAATGTATTAAGATAAGCCTGAATTAACATTTCTTCTTTTGTTTGATATGCCATCTCTTATTGGAGGTCGGCTATCATTGTAGCTACTTGGGTCCATGAAGTTGCGGCTTGGAATAGTTCTGTGGTGCGTACGAGGTAAGATTTTGAAGCCATGTGATTTTTCTTTTGCCACGTCTTCTGCGGTCCTGGATTTTTACGCAGAATGAGTTACAGCAGAGAGTATTTTTCACTCGTCATGATATGCCAGAAATACTGCAGTCCTCCATTTTGTGGTTTTCAGAATTATCAGAAAGTTAGAAGAAAACGAAGTAGCCTCTCATTACAACTCAAATCATACTGCATTTTTTTCATTTCGATCCGTAAATGCAGTAAAAACCAGCTAGAAGGCCGAGAAAAGAAAAATATAGTAAGATTTTTTTCTTAATACAACGTAGATGGTGTGAGATTACTTTTAATACTGTACGTCGGTTCCACGTCTAGGAAGGGTTTAGAATGTAGATATAGACTATTTCTACAACAGTACATTAACAAATCGCATAAAAATCTGTCTGAAAGA